TATTATCCTACGTAGGAGACTAAGCAGCAGCTTACCGAGGATAACTATTAAGTCGACGAAGTATATTTAGCGCTAGCGATCGACCTTTATATACCGGAGTGCGCGCGGCTAGCAAAACTGCTATGCTAATAAGCATATAATTTAGACTTCGGTAGCTTCTTATAGCTACGTATCGAGGTTGCTAAGCTTATAGTTTCTCTTATTAGGAAGCGAGAAATAGCTAAACGAAGGCGCATCGTTAATAAGATATAGAATAGCGTCCCCTGCCCCTTATAGGATAAATCACCGGAGTCCGACCGTTTTCCGCTGCTTATAGGGAAGGCATAATGTCCCCGTTGCATCGGCGATAAAGCAATATCTGTGGAGGAGAGAACATTTGCCTATTGTCGGCCGGCTATAATGAATGATTATTTTAGTCGCGAATATCTTATTACGATGGAATAGATGGAACGCGATGGCTTTATAGGCTGCATGCACCCGAAGTGCAGAGAGGCGGACATTAAGCTGCATAGTCTTGATAATTTTCGGAATCACGTTGCTAAGGTTTATGGTGTTGCACTTCGGCCCTCCCGACGGTAAGACCGAGCTATTAGAGTAATAGAGAGCTCGGCTTTTTTGGCGTGCCCAACTGCAATACACCGCTATAGCATGTGCTACTCAAATGTAGAAGGTCAGCCAACCCTGGGGTGAGCATGCTTAGCCCCCCGAGTGGGTGCATGCGCGACGGATGGGTGATCGAGTCACGCCTAGGTCGGTAGAGGAATATACCATCGCAGTTCCATACGCATCGCAGTATGCTCGAACTCTGCTGGCGCGTTGCGTACCTTGAACATCGCAATACCCTATCCACCGCGTAGCCTCAGCCATCGTGCGCTGACAGTTTTTCCATTAGGGCATACCTCTGCGGTTCCTCCTCATCCGAGATGTATTCATGGCGATGCCGTCTTGTCTCTATTTTACCTCCCCGCTTTCCCCGCACGGAATCGGGAATCCTTCTATAACTAACGTTGCGGGGAGCTGCATTCTAGATCCTATATTGGGCATTCGATTTAGCCCCACAATTCCTTCTCATCTAGGCGAGAGACGGGTTATCGCACCGACGTAGCAATAACGCGACCTAAGTGGTAGCATATCGTCTCTGCCCCTAAACCCTTAACCTACAACAAACCTTCGTCGGCCATACGTCGTTTGAGAGTGCGTCATAGATCATAGCGTCGGGGATTACTTGTGCAGAAAACATCGCTTTGCTCTATCTTCTCTACCCGGTTCCCGCCCCGCCATCTTTAAATCTAGTCACTAGCCCGACCGGTCATCTATCCGGACATTACTCTCTTTCATTCGAGAGAGATCGGAATCTGTGCAGCACGCTAGCATTTCTGTCCAGCTTTAAAGACGACCTAAATCACATACCGGCATTATGCATACAGGAATGTCCGAAGGATGAGACATTAAACGTATTGCTTGCTGTGAACGAGGCCAAGTGCGGGGACGGGTATCAAGCTTTGCGAAAAATTAAGAAAGGCCTTGAGAGTATATTCTTATTGCTCTTAAATGCGTTATAGCGTAAGAAATATCTTTAAGGCCGTTGCGTAATTTTATTGATAAAGTTAAAGATCGTAATGTGGAGGATGGGGTGTTTATGGCTATTATCTCAATATGCTTCGAGCGGATTCGTCAGCGCCTCCGCTTTACTCGTAAGACGGAAACCAGGCAACCCATCAAAAAGCTTTTGCTAGATGCTATCCGAGCGCTTCCTGCAGCTAACGTCTTTCTAGCCAGATCAAAGGAATTGATCACCAAGGTAGATTCCTGGCTCCAGTATCAAACGTTGGCTCGATTGCGGAACATGGTCGATGGTATTCATCACTTATTGCGGCTAGACCACCTACGCGAAATGCTTGACTTAATCCCAAATCAACAAATGAACCTAGAGTCAAGAAAAAGTTTATTAAATATGCTTAGGAAGGTTGCACGATATCGGGACGCTGCCAAATATTTATGCCACACTCGCCGTGGTCAGGCGTATTAGGGTCGTCCTTATCAGCTGGCCTCGACACGCCTTTACCACAATCAGGGAAACGCCCATTCTAGCATTATCATCGAAACTCGCAAAGCTTTACTTAACAAAGAAGCAGTACAATAGATTGTGGAGCTTGATAGGCATCAATGAGATGCAAGCTGGTCATTAGGTCGCCAAACAAAGATCTAAGACAATATCCGAAGCGAAGATCCACGCTGAAGTATAGCTTATTTTCTACTGCGAAATAATGGGCACCTAGTTGTTTCCTCGAGTTATTTATTCTAGCAAAGGTGCTTGCTTCCTTTGCAACGCTTTTATCGTCATGCATGGAAAATTCTACACACCGCGATCTTATAGCAGACTATATCCAGCGTGGCGATTACCACTTTTTCCTTAGCCGAGCGATCTAGAGGAACGGTTCGTTCAGATACTAGAAAACTATATATAAGAAAGCATTAAGACAATACTCTCGAGGCAGAAAAAGACACGTTATCCGTACCCAAATGAGAGTATAATACTAACAGTACCGGTGTCCTCGACAAGTGCTGGCAGCTTAAACGATGGCAATATCGTTGTGCAGCTTAAGAATGACATAGACCCAATAATCAAATTGCCATTCTCAATGTTAGGGAGAACGGTTTCTACCCCGGAAGAACGGACGTTAAGAATAGCCACTACTGTCCTAGAAGAGAAGACGATAGAAAGAGCTATCACTACCACAGAAGACTTAACATCGGAGAAGTTAGATCCTAAAAGCTCTAGCGAATCTCTAAGAGAGACCATGCGGCTATTCCCTGCTGCACCTCACAACGTAAACATCTAATTCCACTCGCTCGTGGTTAAACAGTGGCTGTGGCTGTGGAGGCCAAGGAGACATCTGCGCTATACGAAGCGTGGCCGATTAGATTCGAAGTCGAAAACTCGGTTTAACCGGTTTTAACTATCTAGCGCGACGGGCAAAAAACGCTTGTGTGCTCCCTCGAATGGCTCAACGTTAAGGAAGCGGAGAGTGTATCGCGAATTGGAAATGCTAGGTTTTTCGATGCCGAGCTTCTTGAAGGCTGCGTTCCAGTAGACCCAGGTGATCAAGACAGGTTCTACATCTGCGCCCGCGGGACTTTGCTCCAAGTTTATATTTCATGGTCCTGGAGGCCACCTTTGCCACCAGCCTGAGCTCCAACGGATGCATAAGTAGGTTAACGAGAAGCCAATAAGCCTTATGCGGGATTGGTATCTATAGGGACATCAATGCATTTCGTTTACCTTGACTGGAGAGTGGTGAGAGTGAGGAAAGTATGCCATCGACGGGTGTAGAACCATCCGCAGTTTGCGTCATAGCGTCGCCAGGAGAGTCTGCCATAGCTCACGTTGCGAGGAGGAGAATGAAGAGGATAGATCTAGGGGATGGTGGGCTTAAGGAGCAAGAGGCAATGGAGCGCATACCTATTCACTGGTCGCATCACGTAATTCGGGCTCGCCGTTAGATGCCTCTGAGCAGCCAGTAACGATGCGCCTCTCTGGCTGTTTTCTTACGTCCACCTGTGGCCATCTGCTGCGGATTTATGCTTTTTGCACTGACTTAATCGCCACTCGTGGCTACTTATACCTACACCCGCGCATTGGCCGGGCCGTGCGCTGTACCCGGTAGCCGAAAGTAGACCGTCCTTGGCAGCATTCGTCTCACGTCCTGGACGTAATTGAGTCGCGCACAGTCCAGCAAGATTGTTTCCATCGCTTTCCTGGCCAAGGTCGCTATTAGCGATCAGGTCTTTGATGCGCCAAGCCTGATCACTGCAGCGAGTGTCTTTCGGCTCCGTCGTCGTTCTCTGTGCGATTGCAAGTGCGCCGGTGCTTGTCGATCGTTTCGCTGTGACTGTTCCATTTCTTGTCGTTTACCCAGCGCGCCCTTGTTTCCATTCCAACAGAGCAGCCCAAAGCACCCCAAGCGTGTCGTATCCCACAACCCATTTGTCCATCGTTTGTTGGCTCGATTTCGCGGTCGTGGATCGGATGGCTTTCAAAGTGTTCCCTTGTGGCTTGTGGCCGGTAGGGCTTACGAGCCCTACACACAACCGTAGCCCAAACCAGCGGACAAGTGCTGGCTGGTGGTGACTCTTTTTGGCTCTGGGAATGCCCCGGACAAAAGGCATTCCCAGGTTCCCAGCCAGCACCGCGTGGAGGTGAGAGTCGTCGCTGGCCCGATCCAATAGATCCACCTGCAAGGCGGCTGGCTTGCGGTAGGCATCCGGGTGCCCAAATTGTGTCAGCCGGCCTCTGACCTGCCAGAACTTCGGCGCACTTAGCGCGTGAGCTGACAAAGACGAAGAAAGGATATGTGTGACCAGCGCAATGGAGCTATTTGTACAAGCGCGCATTGTGGACTTCTATCATAGCCTAGGTCCGTAGTTTGTTAGTATAGTAAACTGAGATATCGCTGATAGCGCAGCGCTTTTATTGGCCCTGTTCGGTGACTCGCGGGAGGTCATATGGCACTCGAAGGGCACCGAGCTCGGATATCGGCAGAACTTTATACCGACTACTTGAGTCTACGGGCCGAACAAGTTCCGTGCCAACTTCACCCTATGCTCCGCATGGACTTAATTAAGGCTTCGTTGCTTACAACACGATCCTGTTTCCTTCACCCCCCACCTCACCCCGAGCACGCATATATTCCTATGATATCTTGTCTGGCTGGGCATTTCCGCCTAGCCTATCCATTTCCCTTCATTGCAGCATCATCGCGCTTTCTATATCTCGACAAGTCGCAACCGGGGCACCAGCCGAGCTCAACCCCAAGAATCGTCAACGCTACAGATGTTGCCTCCACAGCTTGCAACCTAACTCGGCCGGGCATAATTGACGGCATTTACGCATCCGCCCTCCCTTCGCGACTTGGATAGCGCATTCACCCACACAATACGTCAGATTCTCCGACTCCACACCCAATCGTCCATACCCGCGTATTATGCCAAGTCATGCCATGGGCCAAATACTTGAGCTCCCTTTCTTTGCTCCGCAGAATCGCCTGCCAGCTCCACTACCATCGCAAGCGGACATCGAGTCTTCGGGCAAGGTTCTTCAGGAATATACCGGCCGACGAGTCGTTCTTTACGACAACTACTACATCATCAAATACGGCGCAAATGTGAGCCTCACCGAAGGCGAGAACATGCTCTTCGTCAACGAGAAACAAGCAGCCCCAGTACCAGAGGTTTTTGCCCTTTACTCGACGACAGATGTGCAGGGAAACAACATCAATTATATCATTATGGAATATGTTTCAGGCCAAGGACTAGATGCTATCTGGGCTCATTTAGACTCGTCATAGAAGGCGAAAATATCGAGTCAATTACGCCTTTACTTCGATGCTTTGCGGAGCCTCCCTTCTCCTGGATACTTCGGGTGTATCGGGAAACGACCCTTTGAAGATTCTATGTTCTGGACTGCACCCGAGGATGACACCAATCGAATGCTTAGCGGTCCTTTTGATTCAGAGCTAGAGCTCAATAACGCTTTAGTCGAGAAGTATATATACAATAGTGGACTGGAACACAAAGCCTCGTACTACCGTCGTGTTCTTCCCCTCATTTTACAGAATCATAAGTCGGTATTTACTCATGGCGATTTGCAGAGGAAGAATATCATCGTTAAAGACGATGGAGAATTAGTGCTGATTGACTGGGAGACGGCAGGATGGTATCCGGAGTATTGGGAGTATGTACTGGCGATGGTTTTATGCGGGGCTTGGAAGGATAATTGGCATAAATTTGTGCGGCATATTCTTGCAGAGTACGTGAATGAGTATGTATGGTTCGACATGCTTAGGAGAGAATTGTGGTCTTAAATTGACAGGTTAACAAGGTTGGTCCTGTTAAAAATAGAAGGCCATTCCCTTCGGTTTTAGCATGCCGGTATGAAGTCGACGTGTTTTACAATCCTTCTTTTATGACTTGAGCGGCATGGGAGCTGACGAGGTTGCAGAGCTAACTGCTAAGAATGGTTCAACTGCAGTCAGCCTGCAGTGCATAGGGCGTATCGCTTGTGTGAATTGCAACACTGTGCAGCGCTTAAATACCCGAACCATCCTCCCTGTTTTTCTTACCTCACCAGACTTCTTTATTTCTCTCGATTCGAGCCTAAAGAATTTGGCCGTTTTCCAATTATGTCTTATTGCATGTATAAAGTTGCCTATCTCGGCGCACCCCGGAATCATAATGCCATCTTCGTCGCAACGGCCGCCGATGGGAGCGGCGTCGTCATTCATGTTACTGGAGACATATAGAATGGAATGAAGTTTGAAATGAAGGCAGGAAGACGTCCTGAAGATTCCAATACCTTCGTCGAAAAATCTTTCCTTGGTTGGGTTGCGGTTAACAATTATCATCGCATTGAAGGAATCTGCAGAAGCATCCCGCCTCCAAAAAAGCAATTCAATGGCCCTAAGCGGCTTTACCCGAAAGAACCGTTACGCCGCTGTCAAGAATAGACTAACGAAGCGATCGAGGCTTGAATCTCGAATGACGTCTTGCACACTCAAGACTCGGTGGCGTCGTCAAGTGCAGAGACACACTGGGCTTAGAGTGAGGAGTACCAAAACTGGTACCACGATAATGGGGACGGTACTTTTGCGTGGGCACAGTCAGGCGATCGCTCTGAGGATACCGGAAAGGGAAAAGGGAAAGGAAAGGGGAAACAAAAGTAATTAGTTGCTTGTCTCGATGGGTTCATCAGTTGGCAATTAGTGCAAGATTCATCGTCTGTTTTCTTTGCCTAATATCTTGGATGATCTTCGACTTCCTTACAATTTTTTCGATTGCGATTCTTTTCGAATAAACAGAACCCCTTTCTGCTATACTTGACTACCATTCGCTCTACAGGACAGCCACGACACCTCAATAGCCGCTTCCTCAATCCTCCTCACATCGCGCACCGTCGTGTCATGTCATATAGGCTTGCCACATCATGACGCCAATCAACTCTTTCACATGGGCTGTTGTCCAAGGTAGCCGTAATAGTGGGTGCTGTCTAACGTCAGTACCCATGCTTTGGTGTGCTCCGGTGCAGTACCTTGGCAAGGCTCTTCGTCGAAACACCAATAGTCAACTCGCACCAGAAGTCCATGGCCTTCGACCTCTCTGGCCATATCTCTAATCTTGCCACTTCGTCATTGAAACGCCAAGGGAACATGATGTGGTGTGTGAAAGACATCAGGCCATTCAAGACGGTATAGATCGCGCCGACGTCGCACCATTCCTGGCCACCTGCGCGCACATTAGAAGAGCTACAAAACCTCGTCGGCAGACGTGCTGATCTTAACGTTGCCGGCCAAGTCAGCCAGCACTTGAGTCTCGTTGAACCTCGTGAGGCGGAACCCGTTGTCCTCGAGGAATGCTATGCCCTGCAGCAACTGCAGCTGTCAGTTGATGAGTTGCCAATGAGTGGTAAAACATACCTGGCCCATTATCGCCGCGAGTCTGAGCTCGGTAAGGTTAGCATACGCCTAGATACAGACGTCAACAACAACTACGGGCATGAAGTCATAGAAGACAATAGGCGTTTCTGCGTCACCGTGGGTGATGGCGTATACGTTTACAAAACTGTGATGCCGAATGCGTTGTAGAAAAGACAGTTTCTCTGCCACGTTAGGCGCTTCGATGGACCGCATTACCTTGATGCCTCGGTAGCGGGGAATTTTAGACAACAAGTCTAGGATAACCCCATGCTCGTTATTTCCGCTAACGATAAATGCACCTTCTGAATCTGGGAGTGAGGAGAGTATGCCATTGCTATGATGCCATCCGTGAAATCATCCGGAGTTTGTGTCATATCGTTGCCACGAGAGTCTGCTATAACCCACGTTGCGAGGAGGAGAAGGAAGGGCGGGATGGCTCCGGATAGACAGGTTCGGACAGACATATTGCAGGGATTATCGCGCTAAGCATAGGTTAAAAGCCATCGCGCCTCGACTATAGCCTAAACAGGCATAAGTGCTATTTTTTAGTCTAAAGGGAAATCTACTAGTATATAATCCTAGGTAGGCCGCTGCTATAGTCCTAACTACGTTTTATCCTCCTTAGAAGCCTTCCGCTTCTTATACCGCGGCTTAGGCATATCCGGTTCCTTACCCTTTCGAGCCTTTCCTGCTCTATCTCGAGGCTTCCTAGTAGCGGTTATCGCCTTCTCTATATCCTTCGTGCTCCGCTTTAGACTATGTCTCGTTTTCTAAAGAGGCTATAGCGAAGTTACTAAAGGAGAGGATAGGGTCGAGGAAGGGTTAGGAAGTTAATTAACTCCTTTTAGTAAATCCGAAGTAGCTCGGCCCGCTCGAGTAGTAGTATACTCTATAGCCTTACGGCCTATTATAGATAGCCTTTTCGCGCTACTATACGATTTAAACCTCTTTAAGCTAGGCGGATATAGTACGTCTAGTAATTCTAGAGGTAGGAGAGCTCTTAACTATACCTACGCCTAGAAATCTACTATTAAGCGGTTATTCTATAAGTAAAAGAGCCTTAAGAACTCCTTTACTTACTATCCGCCGAGGCTCCCTTATACTTAAATAACCTTTAATCCTAATTAAAGAACTATATTCCTACCGCTATCTTAGTAATAATCTATTAAATTTTTTATAACCTTAAAAGCTAGTTACTTTATATTCTATATAGTCTAGCTATATACTACTATAGGTCTATTAAGTAACTATAATAACTAGTATTATTCCTAAGAGATAAACCTATTAAGGGGTTTATATTAATAAATAGAATAAAGCGTTATCTATATAATAATAAGTATATATTAAGGGCTAGCGTATACTTAGTATAGTAGTATAAGGCCGAATAATTATTTATCTAAAGCTAAGGAGAAAGGAGGAAAACTCTATCCTAGTCGCGATAGTTATCTATCTTCCTTAGTCCTTAGCTCGACCTATATTCGGGTGCTATTCGGCCTAAGTTTAGGTCGAGCTCTACCTATACGTAGGTCTACTTCGGCCCGACTTCGGTACGGTCGCTATAATATAACCTTAGCCTTCTATAGGCGTAGCCTATAATACTACCCCCGCTCTCCCCCTCTTATTAGTAGTGCTCCCGTTCCTCTCTTACCGCCTTTCCGTTATCGCTATCCCTTTTTTCTCGGCGCGCGCGGTCGCTTCCTTTCGCCTTACGCTCGCCCTATCCCTCTATACCCTGCCCTTTCGTATGCCCGTTCTGCCCTCTCCTTCCCTCCTCCGCGTATATACCCCCGTACCTTACTAACTATACGCGTGCCCCGCCGCGTATAAATACCCCTCTTCTATCCCCTCTCCCTTTTCCTTTCTTTTTCCTCCTTTAAGCTTTACTTTCTCCGCGCGCGCGCCCCTACTCTACCTAACTTCTATCGCCGCGCCGCGCTATATTATAACTACTATAGGCCCTTATACGCCCGCCGGCTTCTCTACTCTATATAGCGGCACCCCGCCTCCTAGCACGCTAGGCGACTATACTCTACCGCCTTTACGCTAGTCGACGCGTCCGCCTATATCTCTTAATAAGTATAGCGCGACCCGTGGTATTACTATACGGCGGCTACCCTATCTTGCCTATATAGGCCGAATAACGTCGTCGAGCGTCGAGATATAGTATAGTGCCTATTAAAATTAAGCGTCGCCGCGTACTTATAACTACTTTGCCTATACCTATGCTAGATTACGCTACCTTCCTATTTATTACTCTCCTTTAACTTTATTTAATAGGACGCTAATATAATAGTAGTATATTAGGGATACGATCGCCGCTATTAATGCCCTCTAGGACTATACGTCCTAAAGGATATTTAACGACTACTAGAGCGACCTTTATATATATACTTTATTTCCCCTTTAACTTTATCTTACTATTTATCTCTAACTATTATTCTAGTATACTAAGCTTACCCGCGCCGCTATATTTACGCGTTAAGCTTAGATATACCTTAATATCTTAAAGTAATTAGGCGGTAGTTAAGGGGCGTTTATAGTCGGTTAAAATTAAGTTAGTATCCTTAGTACGTCCTATTATATCTATATCTTATCTTATTATATCTTACCTTTATCCTTATCTTTATCTATCCTTTATTACTATCTATCTTATATCTATCCCTTATTTATCTTTTATTATTTCCCTTTAATACTATAGTTTTTCTTTATCCTTTCCTTATTCTTTAACGAGCGTCTCTTATATCCTACCTCCTTTCCTTATTCTTTAATAAGCGTCTCCTATCTCTTACCTCCTTCTCTTTCTCCCCCTTCTATCTTTTATTTCCCCTTCCTTATCCTCCGCCCTCTTTTTTATCCCTTTCTCTTACCCCTCCTTT